GAATTAGCTGTATTGCACTCCTTGCTTACGTAGCCGAATCTAGCATTTAACTCACTGGCTCGCATTTCATAAGGAATGTAGTCTTGAAAATTCATCTCCCGCATCCACATCCAGACGGATGCGGGAGCCGCTCCAGCATCCTTCAGAGCAGCTGTGGGGCACCCACGGGAGGCTGTTTTCGGGTGCCCTGTCCGTGGAGCCCACCATATCTCATGGTACGGCAACAGTTGCTTCCCTTCTCCCGCCTACAAGTAGTTCAAGGTCAGCGGTCATACAGGTGCGCAGCAATTAGCAGCATGTTTGCTGTTCCTTAATATAGAAAACACAGACTTATCGCAAAATAATTATCACGATCTCCTTTGAGGACACAGAACTGCAAGCAAGCTGCTCGGCTACTGTAGTGCCAAAGAGAAATAGCTACATAGCCACGTTTGCTAAAATTATAACTTTATGCTGAGGGTGGTCGAGGTGAGAACACCTTCAGGCTACGCATCCCATGGCATCAGGATTTGTTTCAATTCAGCCTTTTCTGTTCTCCGGCCAGAATCATCTCCACAGCTGTTTTAGGACACACCTGCTGATGTAACACTACGTCATAATCCACATCCCAGAGTTTGAGACTCATCTACAAGTTTTCAAACAGTGGAGAGTATGATATTTATGACCTTGCAACTCTACTGAAGGTCTGCAAAACCACATGATTTTAAAGTCTCCTTTCAAGGTTATTTCAGGTGTGGAAAAACATTTTTTCTGGTTTTTTTTTTTTTTTCTCCTGCTTTTTTGGGGGGGGAATATTAGGAGGAAAGAAACATTTATTACATCAAAGCTCGATCCTCAGATTTATATTAACACAATATATGCATTAAAAATTAAACAAAGGTTTTTTTCTCAGTGTGCTTTCTCTGTGCATGTGTTCAAAGTTTCTTAGCGTTTAATTCTTTACTTTGTCATCATCCTACCATTTTTTTCTCTACTGATTTATTCTAAATAAAACAAACCTTGTAATGATACTTGAACTTTTGAACTTACAGTTTTAAATGTGTTTAATAACAAGCAACAAGCTTTTGACTCAAAGTTTATGCAATAGTGATAGGTGAAACCATTAGAAAATAGAAAGATAAGCAAGTATTTATTTAAACAAGTTTAAATGGTTATTTGTTGATTTCTTCCCTATAGGCAGTTGCATGTATTTATACTGTGAATGTAAAATTTTTTTTAAAATCAAAGCTTAGTATTTCTACGTCAATGGAAAACAATTGTCCCCACCTTTACCAATTAAATATATGAGTAAGTAATTATACAGAAGTTGCTTCATCATTTGAAGATAGATATTTTTGTACTTTTTTGCAGTGGTAACTTTTTGGAATACCTTCCTGGCATAAGAAAGAGTGGAGGCAGGTTTTAAAGGAGTCAGGATCCTCTGCGTTTGCTGATCCTGGAGTTTCACACAAATGTGGCTATTCTGTGAACAGTGTTATTCATTGCTAGTGCAAGTAAATATTTGCCTTGTCTAATAGTATTTGATGACTAGTACATACAGTTTGAGATAAGTTTCAGAATCGGGGTTTTTCGGCGAGCTACACAGAAAGGTGTGTACAGAAGTATTATTCCCACTACGCCAACAACTTCCTTGAAAATTCACATCATATCTCTGTTCCCACATTAGGACTGGCTCTCCAAGGCAAAAATTCAAAAGCCAAATTTATTCTTACTTTGTATCTCTTACCTTTATTAGCATTATTGAAAAACAAAAAACAAATACCTACAGAAGAGTTTTTAGGATTGTACTGTGTGAGTTTTTCCTCCATGGTTCCACAGAAGTGTATCAGCTCACTTAAGAAGCGTCAACAAAAAGTCTTTTATCAATGGAGGAGAGTCCCAATTCCCAGATTCTTTAACAGTAGAGACAAGAAAAGAAAAAAAAAAGGCGTCATAATGCAACAGCCAAGGGAAGGGAGAGGAAAGGGGAAGCTACACAGGTTCCCAGCTCTTATGGGAGCAGGGTTAAGCGTCCGGATGGGGGTGGGTTGTGCCATAATGCAGTCGAGTTCTAAACAATTTCTCAGTGACTGTGGAGGTCCCCGAGTGTTACATATTACACTGTATTTCACCTATTTCTTTTCCTAGGAACAAGTTAGTATAATGTAGGAAATCCTCTGGGCAATTCATGCCTGGAACTAACATTTGCATGGTTTGCTTAAGCTTTCTTCCAATCACCAGTGCTATCTTCCAGCCAAATTGTTGCTGCCGTGAATAAACTCGCAGTGGTCACGGTTTGATTATCCTGTAGCCGAGTTACAGAATCATGCAGATTGCAAAGCTATCAATATTTTCTCATGAGCTCCTGAGGACTTTGTTTATCTGAAATGTAGTTGCACTTCCTATGGTGCAGCTGAATCAAAATACAACTGCTCCAAGTACCTGGCAGCCCCCTCTGTCTGTAGCAGCCTCCAGCTTTTATCAAAAGTCATACTCCAAGAGGCTGTGCAGTATAGTAAGACTTAGTGGCATTTTCTAGACCAGTTATTAGCATCCAGCACATTTCCTTTTAACTCCTCTGGCTGACCCGCCATTAACCAGACGTGCCCACTCCCACAGCCACAGGCGTACGAAGTCCTAACACTCTTGAGAAGGCTGCCAAAAAAAAACCTGAGGGGTACATAAAAGGTTGGTGTCAGTACAGCTTTTCTTGAAAGCTGGTTACAATATAAATAACTGTCAGTGGTGAAAATTCTGCCCCCAGCTAAAAGCACATGTTTTGATAAGGGCAGGTTTGAGATTCTAAAAAATCTTTGTGATGTAAAAAATGCTTAGAATTCAAATGTCTGATCGCCCATGTTACTTACATGTAAAGTAGCTGAAAAAGCTCTGCTCACAAACAGCTGGGAAAAGCTTAAAATCAGTAATTTTTCTTGAGTGGGGTGGTGGTTTTGTTTGACCTCATGGAGGACAGCCAGAAGTTGTTTTCAGTGAGTACTTTGTAACAAACACATAAACCAGCTACAGGTACTTTCCTCTTTCTTCTGCCTGTGCATAGTTACTCTTCATGAGCAAAGGCACACAAAATCATATGCGGCTCTCTCCTGCTGATGAGATTTTTGTTGTTGTTATGCTTCCGTAAGAGTGAGCATCATCTTCAAATGGTCTTCAAATCAGGAGGGTACCAATTAAAAGACCAAGAGACAGTGCTCTGTGAAAACTAAGAAGAGAGTGGATATTGTGGGTTTGGGTAGAGGTAGGAACCTGGAGAACAGCTACAGTAGAAGGAACTTTTAGATGTTTCATAACCTTGTGTTTTGTTATGTGCTTTACACGGAAGTAGCTGAGCTGGTTGAATAAAAAAGGTAATGGGTATAGAAGCGGGGCAGATCACACTATAGAAAAAACACGAGCAAAAATGTATCATTGTAGGTTCAATGAGGGAAGTGATGTCAGTTTTGCTGTTTTAAAGTGGGGTTTTTTTGATGGCTCACAGTGGCTTTTTGGGTATTGTTGGTATGGTGAGAGAACTTAAAGGCAGAATATTTGATACCAATAATATTTCAGTTTTTCTCCTAAATTACATACATGCTTTTTCTTAGCTATTTCTAAGAATATGTTCTTACCTGCCATGAGAGAGAAGAGTGGTAGAAGACCATTGGATATCCTGCTGTCATTCACTCAAGAAGTACTGAAAATATGAGAAATACATTTTTTTTTCTGGGCCTTCACAGAGCGTGGTCATTTTCACCTGTGAAAAATGGATACAGATTTTTTTATTTGGTAGTGGTTTATATCCACTTTTCTTAGGAGTAAACAGCTATGTAGGATACAGAGATTCAAAGAGAAACAGACTCTAAATATTGGGCATATTTCAAAATTGGGAGATTAAAATAAGCAAAATTTTGCACTAACATTCATGTGTGGCTTTCTCTTTAGTGTGCATGGTTTAGTTTCTATTTGTTTTGTTATTTTACACAGTGATTAAGTTTCACTCCAGCTGACTTGTTTATTTTCTTTGGCACTCTGTGTACTTTGTGTGTGTCATTGCTCAGTAAATCACAGTAGCTGCACTCCTTAAAAGGAATAGACTCAGAGAAACTTTTTTACGGGCTCAAACAAGTTTGACAGGTTCAATGACCCCAAATACTGGTGCAGTGAAAAATATCCCAGATTCAACCACCTTACAAGTACACATTATTTAATATACTCCTAGCCTTGAACAGAGATTCCTGGAGTAAAGGATACCAATTAAAGTAG